GTCTCTCTCTCTCTCTCTCTCTCTCTCTCTCTCTCTCTCTCTCTCTCTCTCTCTCTCTCTCTCTCTCTCTCTCTCTCTCTAATGACCCAATCAACCTCTAAAGTACAATGACTTAATGATGGGGAGGGTAGGAAGGGGATCAGGGATGAGGTGAGAAGAGGAAAGTGGAGGAGGGAGGGGGAAGGGAAGGAGAGCAGGAAGGGAGAAAACGAGAGGAGAGGAGGAGATGAGGAGGGAAGAGACAAAAAATGATGAAGAGGTGAAGAACGATGATAAAAAAAGGAGAGAAAAGAAAGAAAGAGGAGGAGGAGGAGGAGGAGGAAGAGGATAATAACAAATAATAACACACTGTTAACCAAAACACAGAAGCAGGAGGAAATGAATCAGTATATACTAATTAGATGCACTACTGAGGGACAGGTAACGTGACTGCTGGGTGTATTAGACGTGGGAGAGACTTAACTAGGGAGCTGGGAGAGACGGCGACCCCAGTAGATAGGTTATAGGACTCTTATACCATGTTGGTGATGAAGGAAGGAAGGAAGGAAGGAAGGAAGGAAGGAAGGAAGGAATATAAAAGGAAGGAAGGAAGGAAGGAAGGAAGGAAGGAAGGAAGGAAGGAAGGAAGGAAGGAAGGAAGGAAGGAAGGAAGGAAGGAAGGAAGGAAGGAAGGAAGGAAGGAAGGAAGGAAGGAAAGAAGGAATATAAAAGGAAGGAAGGAAAGAAGGCACGAAGAAAACGTGATAAAGACAGAAGGAAGGAAGGAAGGAAAGAGACAGAACAGAGAGAGAGAGAGAGAGAGAGAGAATGTCACGTCAACATTATCAGTACTACCCAAAGCAGCTGTCATGGAGTCAACAGACAGGTGAGAGAGACTAGCACAATTAGGCACCTCAGTACAGGTGTTACCCAGCATGAGGCCACAGGTAAATCCCCGGGTTACCTTCAGATCATCAGGGATTAAGCCTACGTGTTACTGCTGAAGGCATCTCAACAGGTACTAATATTCTAGGATTATAATATACAAAGTGAATGACTAAACTTGTCGTAAATTATTATTATTATTATTATTATTATTATTATTGTTATTATTATTGTTGTTGTTACATAAAGGTATAAATATGAAGTCAAGGTACAGCATTTAAAATATTAAGTTTAACTACAGCATTGCTACAGATTTTAATTTCAATATTTATAAAAAAAAACCTAACATTATCTATTTTAATATATAAATCAAAATTATATTAAAAATTCAGGAAATATTCTCCCCTAAAAGCGGTGGGCTAAAACACTCGTCTCAGGACCCAACATTCTCAACCTTTCTCAGTTAGGTGAATGCTGGCCACGTTTTATCCAGCTGTCACGTTAAGTTATCTACCATTGTTGGCTCCGAGGTTGTTAGCTGCCGAGTGGTGGGTGTCAGCAATACACACACACACACACTGTCAGCCACCAAGGTACAATACATACTGTCAGCCACCTCCCTCAGCGACACCGTCAGGAGTTTGGTGGGTGGTGGTCGTCAGAAGGTAAAGTATTGTACGGTATTTCAGCCAATGAGGAGGATTATATTAACTAACTAGCTGGGCGAGGATAAGGAGACCTAAAGGTGCTTAAAAATAGACTTGTAACTCATATAGGATGAAGATAGTGATGATGATGATGATGATGATGATGATGATGATGATGATGATGATGATGATGACATATAAATAAATACGATAATGAAACAAGGCAGGATGATAAAGAAGAAAAGGAAGACGAAATTAACGTAGAATAAAAGCCGAGAGAGAGAGAGAGAGAGCCGGCGGAGGTAATATATCACTAACGAGGAGTAAAACGCGGCCATAACCCCAGCAGGAGGAAGATGCTCCCACTCCCACGCTAGTTACCTTACCCTCGTCAGCAGTGAAGGAGGGTCATGCACCTGCCTTAATTAGCCGCCTACTTGAGCGCATTCCATGACCTTCGACACATGGAGGAGGACCTTTCGCACCAGCATCATATGTGGTGATGACGGGAGAAGCGGTGTTCTTGAGGTGGCAGAACACCACACACAAGACCTGATGGATTGAAATCTCACTGAGGGGTTGATGGGGAGGTCACGCGTCAACTTATACCTGGAGCTGGGTTTAGGAGGTACACCTGGAGTTGGTCCTACGGGTACCTCTCCTCCGTAACAGACGTAGTGATGTTTACCTTTAGTCTACCTGGTGTTGGTCCCGGGTCCTCTATTGACACAACTCCGTGCGTGACAAGCTTCCTACCTTAGCCCCCTAAAATTTGATTCACATAAACTTAACGTTAGCGACAGTCAGCGAAGTCTCAAGTGTGTACCCAGAACAGTCGAGGCCGTAAGACTAAAAAAGATTAAACAAAAACACAAACTACAAACATTAAAAAAAAAATTAACAAAGATTAACCTCAACACAAAACGATCATACACCAATGGTATAAATCATATAGGTCGTACATCAGTTCAACAACCTGACCATTACAAAAGTAATATAGTGGCAGCACGTGTTTATCACTACAGTAAATAACAATAAAGAACCCTGCAGTACGAGGTAACACCGAGGACACCGTCAATGGTTATATAAACGACCCAGGCGCACCATAAAGCGGCCGTCCCCACAGGGCTCTGCGTTATAATTACGGAGCTCCAAAACGCAAATGACAAGGCCCGGGTAGGAACACGTTCCTCTCGTACGTATCAATGTGTCAGGTGATAATGTCTGCGGGTACAGCTCCCTTACCCGCTGCGTTAAGCTGCCACTATACGCCGCCTCACTATGAATACAAAACACTGCATTACCCGCTCCACCTCTCCTTCTCCCGCTCCTCCTCCATAGGGAACAATGAGAGTGTACTGGGGTGGATAACAAGCCACAAAGAGGAAGTAATTGTGGGGCTTTACAGTTAAAAACACCAAATTTGGCCCACCTGTACAGTTTAACTTATTCACCACTATTAAATACAGATCCATATATATTTTTCACAATGGCAGCTATTTTCAAAATAGTGTATAACACTCCTACTGAAAGCTGAAGTAATTGTTGGGTTCTGAGGTAAAACTACCAAATTGGGCTCGTGTGTAGCGTGTAATTTACTTAACAATACTGGTTATGGAAGCGTTTATACTTCACACAATAGTTACTGTACCCGGAGATGGCTTCCTAGTGTGTCCACAATTTACAACTTTACTCGTACACAACTTGTGAAAAAAATATTTATTGAATATTGCATCACGTTAAACTAACCAGAGGCAACACTTAGTATGCAAAGGATGTGGCGCTAACTTTAAAATCACTTTCAGTTACAAATAATCCTGTAAATTATTGACTTTACTAACTACATTACTACATGAAGCAGTGAGCCGTAATTACACTGGCAGAGAGAAAGAGTATGAGGCAACACAGAGATACACCACACACCATAAAAACTAATGGGTTTTATTTAGACAAAGTCCCCGGCCAGAAGTGGGTACAAACCTTCCGCCAGAAGTTTTACATTTAAACTTCAAGTAACTCGAACACAAAATCTGGGAGTCTTCTGTTGACTTGCGTGAAGCCGACAGTCGTGGGCAGCGTGTTAGCGGCTACACCATGAATATCAACACACAGGCGCTATATGTGTATATTATTGTACCTGTAGGAGTGTGTATCTTTATCTGTATGCATGTATGTGTACCTATACGTGTAGGAGTGTACACCTTTACCCGTATGTATGTGTACCTGTATCAGTATGTATGTGTACCAGCACATGTAGGGATGTGCACATGTAGAGTAAACCACAAAAATCTTATCGTCTCTCCTTCTGAACCACGAACCCCGAGATTCAGACTCGTCAATCCGAAGCATTTGTGGACAGAATAATGTATCAGTGTCTACTGCTGGGGTTCGGTTCGTGAACAGCACGAGAGACAACAGACCCTTTGTGGGTGACTGTACCTGTGTGTATGAGTACTTGCATAATTGTGTGTGAATAACTAACGTTCCCCCTTCCCCCTGAATGCGCCCTTGGCATTGATTCAATTATAATCAGTCTCTCTCTCTCTCTCTCTCTCGTATTAGATGTTTCATATCCTGTAAGGCGTCACGAGTCACGGCACACCCTCGACCATCGCCCTCATGTAGCTGGCAGATAAAGATGTCTAGCAGTAAGCAGTGATGATGAGAGAGAGAGAGAGAGAGAGAGAGAGAGCAACAAAACACACACACACGGATCGCCTTCACAACACAAGACAAGCGTCACTGTAAAGTCGCTCTCCAGTCTACACGGATGAGGAACTTGCCACTTTACCTCCTCCCCCCCACACACACACACACACAGCCACACTGTTCCCGAAAGGCTTTTAAAACGTGGACACAAAGTAGACAAAGGGGTGAAGGGGACGATGCAAATATGTGAGGAGAGAGATGCGTCACTATGGCCACTGTTCCCGGAAATATGAGGACCCACCGAAACATAACATTGGGATTTTCACAGTGTTGAACCTTAAGAGCTTCAGGTATACACAACCACTTGACAGTACAGATTTTTCTTAACATTACTCGTCTTTATATGTTGTGGTAAAAATAATAGGGATTTAAATGTTTCTACAGATGTGTATTAAATAGTGAGAATGTCAGTCTAGAAGTAATGGGTATTGTTATATTGTGTCCCTTTAAAACACACGTCAGGAGACTAATCAATCACAGTCATTATCACAGTATGTTCCTAAAACTCACTTCCACTATATACTTCTCCATCACTAAACTACCTACTGGTTTAATGGGATAAATCTTCTTTAACTTAACGTTTATGGCCGCATAAAACAACGTGAGGTCTTAATACATGAGGGTTTTTTTTGGGGGGTGCAGTAAACTGGACTTGGTTTTTCGTAACTCTGCTCTGCGAGTTACAATATTAATGAAATATTTTCCCCTAATAATTAGCTCAAGCGGCGGCAAGGAAGGGTCGGGTACTTAGGAGTAATATTTATAACCAAATCCAAACAGAGGAGGATGAAATATGCAGGAAATGCAACAACACTCGAGGTAACAATTGTAGGACAAGCAGCAGAAGGAACACCCCAGCGGAACACAGCAGCAGAAGAAACACCCCAGCGGAACACAGCAGCAGAAGGAACACCCCAGCGGAACACAGCAGCAGAAGAAACACCCCAGCGGAACACAGCAGCAGAAGGAACACCCCAGCGGAACACAGCAGCAGAACACCCAGCGGAACACAGCAGCAGAAGAAACACCCCAGCGGAACACAGCAGCAGAAGGAACACCCCAGCGGAACACAGCAGCAGAAGAAACACCCCAGCGGAACACGGCAGCAGAAGGAACACCCCAGCGGAACACAGCAGCAGAAGGAACACCCCAGCGGAACACAGCAGCAGCAGAAGGAACACCCCAGCGGAACACAGCAGCAGAAGAACACCCCAGAACACCCCACAGCAGCAGAAGGAACACCCCAGCGGAACACAGCAGCAGGAGGAACACCCCAGCGGAACACAGTAGCAGCAGGAGGCGGAACACAGGCAGAAGAACACCCAGCGGAACACAGTAGCAGCAGAGTCCCAGAAAACACCCCAGGAACACAGCAGCAGCAGGAACACCCCAGCGGAACACAGCAGCAGAAGGAACACCCCAGCGGAACACAGCAGCAGAAGGAACACCCCAGCGGAACACAGCAGCAGAAGGAACACCCCAGCGGAACACAGCAGCAGAAGGAACACCCCAGCGGAACACACCCCAGCGGAACACAGCAGAAGGAACACCCCAAGGAACACAGCAGCAGAAGGAACACCCCGCACACAGAACAGGAACACAGCAGCAGAAGGAACACCCCAGCGGAACACAGCAGCAGAAGGAACACCCCAGGAACACAGCAGCAGAAGGAACACCCCAGCGGAACACAGCAGCAGAGGAACAGGAACGGCAGACACAGCAGCAGAAAGGAACACAGGAACACAGCAGCAGAAGGAACACCCCAGCGGAACACAGCAGCAGAAGGAACACTCAGCAGAACACAGTAGCAGCAGAAGGAACACTCCAGTAGAACACAGCAACAGCAGAAGGAACATTTCAGTAGAACAACAGCAGCAGCAGAAGGAACACCCTCAGCAGAACACAGCAGCAGCAGAAGGAACACCCCAGCAGAAGGAGGTAAGTGATCCACTCCCGCAGGTCAGACGACAGCCAACACACAACTCGACTTCGTCACCAGATTGATGGACACGACGCCTCATTACGGCGGTCTGGGAGAGGCAAAGAGGAAATTGATGGCTGGAGAGGGAGAGGAAGAGGCGTGGGAGTGAGCTAGGAGAGGGATGGCTAATGATGAAGGAGAGGAAGGAGAAGGGATAGGAAGGAGAGGAGGGATAGGAAGGAGGAGGGAAAGGAAGGAGAGGAAGGAGGAAGGAGAGGAAGGAGGATGGAAAGGAAGGAGGATGGAAAGGAGGGAAAGGAAGGAGGAGGGAGAGGAGGGAAAGGAAGGAGGAGGGAGAGGAAGGAGAAGTAAGAGAAGGAAGAGGAAGGAGGAACATAAGAACATAAGAATGGAAGAAACTGCAGCGGGTCTATTGGCCTATACTGGGCAGTCACATTCACACCCAACCCCTATCGCTCATATATCCATCCAACCTATGTGTGAAGCTATCCAGTTAGGAGGAACGGGGAGGAAGAGAAGGAAGCGGAAGGAGGAGGAAGAGGAAGGAGATGAAGGAAAAGGAAGGAGATGAAGGAGGAGGAAAAGGAAGGAGGAGGAAGATGAGAAAGGAGAAGAAGAAAGATGAAGGAGGAGGAGGAGGAGGAGGAGGAGGATGAGAGAGGAAAGACGAAAGGAAATATTTGGGATAAAGAGGACATGGAGTTAAAAGGGAAGAAGAGGAGAGATAAAGAGATTACAAAATAAAGAGAGCAATGAGAGATTAAGGGATACATAAGGAGGTTCTCAGATAAATACAGAAGACTGGGAAATGGAAGCAGGGAGAGAATTCGTGACACACACACACAAAAAACCTCTTCAGCTACACCATTCTTCTCACATACCAAATGACTCTCCCTCAAACGCTCTCGCAACAGACCCTCCCCCCTTCCCTCCTATCCTTCCCTACCCCTCCTCTCCCCCCTCCCTCTATCCCTCCCCTCCTCTATCCCTCCCCCTGGTAACCAATTATCATAAAAGTTTTAGGAAGTCTTGGTTATAATGACAATTTTTTTATAGCCCACTTAAAAATACAATTAAAATGATGAAACTGACACGACTGTCTACCTCACCTTTAGGTCACCACAGAGATACACACTCAACCATCTGGGAGGTAATAACTTAGTGGATTCGAACCCTGTGTGTCTGTCTTTGTGGGCATTAGAAGGCCACTTGTGATGGGTAGAGTCAGAGGACGATTTGATAGCCATTTTGGATGTCATTATAGTATTCAAGCTTAAGGAAGTGAGTGATTGGTTTTCGAATAATTATGTGAGGTAAATATGCGAAGCTTTGAATTTATTGTACGTATGTGATTTCAGAGTTTGGGATAAGGAAAAGAAGGAAGAGAAAGTGTGAAGAAGAAATGAGGAGGAGGAGAGAGGAGGAGGAGGAGAAAGGAGGAGGAGAAAAGGAAGGAGGAGGAGAAAGGAGGAAGAAAGAAGGAGGAGGAAGAGGGGTTACCAGGAGGAAGAAAGAAGGAGGAGGAGAAAAGGAGGAGGAGAAAAGGAGGAGGAGGAGGAAAGGAGGAGGAGGAAAGGAGGAGGAGGAAAGGAGGAGGAGGAAAGGAGGAGGAGGAGGAAAGGAGGGAGGAGAAAGGAGGAGGAGGAGGAGAAAGGAGGAGGAGGAGGAGGAGGATGAGGAGAAAGGAGGATGAAGAGAAGAAATAATGAGGAGAAGGAATAAGAAGGAGAACAAAGGAGGAGAAAGAAGGAAAAAGAAAGAGAATGAAAAAGGAGGAGGAGGAGGAGATGAAGAAAGAGGAGTAGAAACAAGGAGGAGGAAAAGAACGAAAATGAAGAAAGAAGAAGGAAAAATTAATTAAGAACAGTAACAAAAAGAAAGTAAAAATGAAAATAAGAATAACAAAAAGAAGAGAGGTCTTTAAAGTGTATATATATATATAAATAATCTTCCTTTACGTCTCTCCTGCAGGGACGTAAAAATGAAATAACTTAAATTGGGCGGAATAAGATATCACAGAGGCACGAAGCGACTCGGAGATCGTCTGAAAGAAAAAAAAAAATATCGCTTAAAGTGATATGAGCGATTCGTAGCTTCTCCTGACAGCCTGAGTTACTCGTTCCCTCACTTCAACTACTCGCACCTCACTCTTGATAGCTTGAGTCACTCGTTCCCTCACCTAAACTACTCGTACGTCACGCCTCACAGCTAAGAGTTACTCGTTCCCTCACCTCAACTACTCGCACCTCACTCTTGATAGCCTGAGTCACTCGTTCCCTCACCTAAACTACTCGTACCTCACTCATGGCAGCTTAAGAGTCACTCGTTCCCTCATCTAAACTACTCGTACGTCACTCTTCACAGCTAAGAGTTACTCGTTCCTCACCTCCTTCTCGCACCTACTCTTGATGGCCTGAGTCACTCGTTCCCTCATCCCAACTACTCGCACCTCACTCTTGACAGCTTGAGTCACTCGTTCCCTCATCCCAACTACTCGCACCTCACTCTTGACAGCTTGAGTCACTCGTTCCCTCATCCCAACTACTCGCACCTCACTCTTGACAGCTTGAGTCACTCGTTCCCTCATCCCAACTACTCGCACCTCACTCTTGACAGCTTGAGTCACTCGTTCCCTCATCCCAACTACTCGCACCTCACTCTTGACAGCTTGAGTCACTCGTTCCCTCATCCCAACTACTCGCATCGACTAGTCTGAGAGCTTCATTAATTTCGTCAAAGTGAGAGGATCGACCCGCAACGAGTCTTAGGTTAAGCTTCAGTAACTCGTGAAAAACTCGTATTGAACGACTCGATACTGTTTCGAAAATAAGTCAACAAAGGGAATCTCTGAGTGGCTTCTATAATACGTTCAAAGTCAGACGAACTACCTCGGCTACAGACAGAGACAGACAGACAGACAGACAGACAGATACACACTCTCTCCTTCTCATGAACGACATCCACTCGAATTGAGACCATGAGAACTTTGCATATTAGAACTTAAACACCCTAGTGATCAGGCTAGGTCAGGTGAGTGTCAGGTCAGGTCAGGTCAGGTCAGGTCAGGTCAGGTCAGGCCAGGTCAAATAAGGATAGGAAGATTGGGGTTTCCTCTAACTCATTCCCAGAGTCTCAGTATTGAATAATTTTGGCCAACTCCTGAGACGCTTTGAGCACCAGCTTTGTCAACACCGATTGTGGCTTTTACTGATAATATTTCCCTCCCTCCCACTCTGACACCCTCCTTCTCTCCCTCTCACCCTGACACCCTCCTTCCCTCCCTCCCACCCTGACACCCTCCTTCTCTCCCTTCCCCACTCCCTCCCACCCCTGACACCCTCCTTCCTTCCCCTCCCACCCCTGCTACCCTGCACCCCTCCTTCCCCACCCTGCTCCCACCCCTGGACTCCCCCCTCCCCTCCTTCCCTCCCTCCACCAACACCCCTCCCTCCTCCCTCCACCAACACCCTCCTTCCTCCCTCCACCAACACCCTCCTTCCTCCCTCCCTCCACCCCTCCCACCCTGACCCTCCTTCCCCTCCCTCCCACCCCTGACCCCTCCTTACCCTCCTCCCTCCCACCATGACACTCCTCCTTGACACCCCTCCCTTCCCTCCCTTCCCTCCCACCCTGCACCCTCCTTCCCTCCCTCCCCACCCCTGACCCTCCTTCCCTCCCTTTCCCACCTTCCTTCCTTCCCCTCCCTCACCCTGACACCCTCCTTCCCTCCCTCCCACCCCTGACAACCTCCTTCCTCTCCCTGACACCCTCCTTCCCTCCCCCTCCCACTCCCCGGACACCCTCCTTCCTTCCCACCTGACACCCTCCCTCCCAGACTCTGACACCCTCCTGCCCTCCTACCCCTACCCTGACACCCTCCCTTCCCTCCCTCCCACCCTGCCCCTCCTCCTGACACCCTCCTTCCCTCCCTCCCTCCCTGACACCTGACACCTTCCTTCCCTCCCACCCCTGACACCCTCCCTCCACCCTGACACCCTCCTCCCACCCTGACACCCTCCCTCCCACCCTGACACCTTCCCTCCTCCCACCCCTGACACCCTCCTTCCTTCCCTCCCACCGTGACACCCCTCCCTTCCCCTCCCTCCCACTCCACTCCTTCCTCCTTCCTTCTCCTCCCACTCCCGTGACCCCTCCCTCCTCCCTCCCTCCCAGCACCCTCCCTTCCCTCCCCACTCCTGCCACCTCCTTCCTCCCACTCCTGACATCCTCCTTCCCTCCCTTTATCAGTAATTTAGACAGATATCTTGAGAATTTATGTCCGCCTTTATGACTACTGGGGGAGGGAAGAAAGGAAAAAAGAAAAATGGGAGACAAGGAGGGAAGGAAATGGGAGGAAAGGGAGGGAGAGGAGAGAGAGAGAGAGAGAGAGAGAGAGAGAGAGAGAGAGAGAGAGAGAGAGAGAGAGAGAGAGAGAGAGAGAGAGAGAGATTGGGGAAAACTTTGTGGACAAGAAAATAAATCTTGCATTGTCACCCCTGAGGATTTTTTTTAATTGTATTTCTATTTTCTTAAACTTTAAAACACTGTAGTGGTAAAAAAAATAAAGGGGGGTGGGGGTAGGGAGAAAGTTGGGTAGAGAAAGGAGAGAGAAGGTAGTGAGAGGTGAGGGTAGGAGTGGGAGGAGAGGGTAGGAGTGAGAGGTGAGGGTAGGAGTGGGAGGAGTGGGGGTGTACTCGGAAACTTAATATTTATTCTTGAGGTCAATAAAAACAATGATGGTGGATGTTATTGTTAATGTTGTTTTGTTGATATTTTGTTGTTGTTGGAGTTGGTGGTGCTCGTGGTGGTGGTGGTGGTGATGTTGGTGTTGTTGGTGTTGTTGTTGCTGTTGATGTTGTTGGTGTT